AAAAATCCAGGATTTGCTTTTAGAGGCTAAAAGCAAATCCTAAAAATCCAGGTTTTGCTTTTAGAGGCTAGAAGCAGATTTTAATAACCTTGTGATTGAAAATTTTATATTTTAAAAGGTATATTGAAACCTTTTAGGTTACAATATAATTCAAAACTTTATATATATATATAATCAATTTGAACCAAAAGGCCGGTATTGGCAAAAAACCAAGTACATTAGTTCAGCAAATGGCCTGTAGTGGCAATGCCATTGCATACAATGGCCTGTATTGGCAAAAGTTACAGTAACAGGACCTTTTGGCTTGGAAATCTGTACAAAGCCAGGTATTTGGAGTGAAACTGGTGAAACTGGTCAATCTGAGCTCCAGCATTGGTAGTGCTGACATTTCAGTACTTGCAAAAGGTTAACTCTTAGCATATTACTAGCATTCTCCAGCACTACCAACCAACATTTACTGTCCAGGAAAACAGTATGTATAGGCAGAGGCACCAAGGTGCTGATACCTTTGATTAATTTCTTCCATTGGCCTTCTCATTCCAGGATGCATGCCCAGCCTTTTAAGCGCCCAATCGAATGCCTCTGTCTCACCATGGTCCCGCATATGCAGTAAGCATGCCATCTTGTATGCCCAGCCACCAGAGCCTTGTCTTCCAGCAGGTGGAAGATCTCGCCACCTGTGCCATAGTCCACCAGCATCCTGCCACCACAGCATAGTGCTGTCAGTAGGGTCCCTCCACCAGCTGACCACACCAGCAGGCCACATCTGCTGGGTGTGTTGGAGCTTTGGTGGAACCATCCCAGTGCCTTCCATTTCAGTCATTTCAGTGGAGAACTCCTGCAGGGTCATTCAGCATCGTTGTGAGTGCTCTTGATTCAAGGCCTGTACTGGCACTATATTCCAGGCCTGTATTGGCTTAAATTTAAATACAATATTGTTTTGTCCATATACTATAAATACAATCAAGTTGAACCAAAAGGCCTGTATTGGCAAAAAAATACATTAGTTAAGCAAATGGCCTGTATTAGCAATCACCAACCATTTCCATCTCCTGCCTGACCAGCACTTGAAGCAGGTCCTCCTCCAGCAGGTCCTCCTCCAGCACTTGTAGAGCTTGCAGCTGTAGAGCCAGCATGAGCTGCAGGGCCAGCCCAGGAGCCAGCAGTGGCCTGAACAACAATAACAACAACAATGACAATGAAATTGTTACAGACAGTGAACATAGTAAAAGACAGCTTGGCCTGTATTGGCATAATAAGAGACTGCTTCTTGGCAGCGCTAAGGTCTATGCACCAAGACTCACCCAGCTTTTCTGGTGACCAGCCCACTCTCAGAGCATGGGCCCCCCCTCGAGTGAACATCAGCACAGTTCACCAGCAGTCCAGAGCGATTATCTGGATGCACACTCAGCATGTTGGTGTGGATCTCCTGCTCATAGACCAGCTGATGGGTCTTGAGCAAGGCCAACATTCGCCTTGCTTTGTTCTGGATGCCGGCTTGCTGGTCATCCCTCAAGGCTTCTAAGGCCCTCACCACACCAGCATCCATGGCTGATACCAGCACTTATGAGTGAACTTTTGTAGCCAGGCCAACTATAAGTGAATCTTGGGTACTGCATATATGTTTTGTGCGAGTTGTTTGTTGTGTGCTTTTTCTGCCAACTTACTTGAACTTTACACTTGTGTACCTTAGCATGTTGGCTGTCCCTTAAAAAATCTTTTCTTTCACTCAAAACTTGTGTTACCTTGCTGACACAAGTCAAGAAGAATGATACTGTTCAAGTGGAAACATATGAAAAATGGCCTGTGTTGGCAACCAGCAGCCTGTGTTGGCAATAACAGAAGCTTGAAATGTTATTTAAATGGCCTGTATTGGCAACTGTTTGGATGGTGGCAATGGCTTTAAGATGGCCTGTATTGGCAAAGTTGCTAGCGTGCAATGATACTATGGGCCTTTGTTGGCCAAGCATGCCACAATGAAGAACCTTGCATGCTGTCAGCAAAAAGGCTGCGCAATAAAATATGATGCTTTGCCTTTCATGGTTTTGCAACCCTTTGGGCTGCGCATGTTGCGCTGTTGGCAACTTTATGTTGATAAAAATAGACAGCCAGATCATCGTGATTATTGAGATTTAATTAAGTTACTAAACTAATTAGCTCATTTACTAACCTTTGTAATTTATTTATTAATTCATCTAATTTCAATTAGTAAATAGACTAATTTCTCTACTAACTCACTTAAAATTTTATTGAAAATAAAACAATTACCTAAAATTTATCTAATATTGATAATTTCAACAAATGTTTAAACAGATTACTAGATACTTACAACTAGTTATAACTTGTTATTTACAAGTTAATAAATGCTTATTAAAGCCAATGATGCTTCTAACCTATTACTAGACACACAGCCCATCAAAGTAGTAGGTAGGAGGCCATCGCCATTGGGTTGGAGACCCTCGCTATTAATTAGGTTGGAGGCCATCGCTAGTAGGTTGGGAGACCATCGCTAGTAGGTTGGAGGCGTCGCTTGTAGGTTGGGAGACCATCGCTAGTAGGAGGGAGGCCATCGCTAGTAGGTTGGAGGCCATTGCTATTTGGTTGGAGGCCATCGCTTGGAGGCTCTCGCTATTGTAGGTTGGAGGCCATCACTAGTAGGTTGGAGGCCATCGCTAGTAGGAGGAAGGCCATCGCTAGTAGGTTGGCGTGGTCTCTTCCGACACCTCATGCATCTTGCCTTTCTTACCCTCGCTATTAGGTAGGAGGCCATCGCTCTTAGGTTGGAGGGTCTCACGCCTCCACGCCTTCACGCTCTTGGTCTCTCCGCAGGTGCTCCTCCGATGGATGGCTCTGCGGTGGAAGGGGAGCTTTGGCTTCATGTCTCCGAGGTGCCCTGTCTCTCCTGCGTCGGGGCCATGGCGCAGTTCCGGAAGGTGCGGTTTTGGGGGAAGAGGATGGAAATGGATGTTCAAGGAGTCTAGGGAATTCGACGGAATTCGGATGCTCCCGAGGTCATGGAGCATGCTTAAGACCTGGGCTGTCTTGGCCGCACAACTGCCTCATGCACCAGCTGGGAGGACTATTCCCTCAAGATCCCTCAAGCTGTGCTTCTGATGTGTCGATTCTCTAGTTCAATGAGCAACAACCCGGCGAAGGAATTGATGCTCACCCATGTCGGCTTCATGACTTTCAATCGCTCGGCTCAGGCTAAGCAAATACCTCGATCTCTTAAGAAAAACAACACAGCCCAAAGGGGCAGGCCGGGGTTGGCCGAAACGTGCCGTTGCCGAGAGGTCTTCCCCGATGTGAGCATCCTGATCTCCTTCAATCTGGGAAGGCAGCCTTCGGAGAAGTCGCAGGCAGGTCGACCACGGTGGCCTTTCGCGTGACCCGACCGCTGTTGCGGCGCTCCCGGTGAGGCAGATGCCCGGCCCCAGCCACGAGGGTCGTGATCGGAGCGAAGCCCGGAGAAAGAGCACAGCTTCCGGGCCTCAGGGGGCATGGGAGGCGATGGGCCAAGCTTGTCCAATGGTGAATCAGCCTCAGCCTTCCCTCAAGCCTGCGATGTTAATAACAATGCATAAGACTAACTTGCAATGAGTTTATGGGTCATGAAATGTTGGTGCACTGATCAATCCACGGATTTGGTTTCTGAAATGACGATTGTTTGTGAATTGTTCATGTTCAAATTCTGTTCCACCGTCCATGGCTTAGGACATGATCAAATTTGGAGGTGTCGTATTGCATGTGCATTGTCCTTATGCCAGAATTTATAGCAGATTGAGCAATCTTGGACCCTCCAGTGAGATGATAGTTCAGATGTGGAACAGCCATGATCATGGAAGTCGAACATGGCCCCTTGGATGACCCTGTTCCTCTACAAACCAGATGGTTTTTCACTTCCTTGAATTGATTGTTTCAGGTAGTGTAGATCTTCCGATCTTCCAACCTTTCCTCTCATGTCGCCGCCAAAAAAGACCGCCGGAACGGCGCCAGGACGGATCTGCCAAGGCCGGTGCCAAGCGCCCTGGTCGCACCGTGCCGATCGTTTCGTCCGAGGTGTGGCGGCGCAGGAATTCTCGGTCTCTAGATGTCTCGGTCGTTCAGTTTTGCAAGAGAATAGCCATTTACTCCAGTAAAGTTCTACTGTAGTTGCACATGTTGCAATATATGTTGTGCATCGAACTCAGGTATCGGCATACCGAAAGCAGCTTGGCCAGCAAAGAGAGCTGGTCTCCATTGCCAAACACACTTGTAATTCCTTTGACTGCATTGAATGACAAAGGATCCACTCTGAAACCACTGTAATGAATCAGGAAGAAGGGTTTTCCCAAGAAGTGAGGTAGGTGACCAGCAGAAGATTTGGGATGAGGACCGGCCCTGTAAAACTCTCGAAAACTCGGTGCAGGAGATCTTCGCTTCGCTTCGCGCTTCGCTTCGTTCTTTCAGGTCAGGTGCGCTTCGAAGCTGGAGAATCGCTGAAAGCCTTCGAGGTTGACTTGACGCTCAGGAAGATTCAGCAAATTTAACGGATTATATAAATGGGAGATGATGAACTGTTTTTTGTATCAGAAAATATCAGCAACCAGTAACCAGTCTAGCTGTTTTCAGGTTGACTTCTGCCGCTCGTGCCAGCTTGAGCAGTTGGTTGCGACCGTTCGTGTGGTTGCTTCGCCTTGAACGGCGGGGTCGTTCGTGAAGCACTCTCCAACGACCTAACAATTCATGCTGCAGATGTATGATTTGAGGTTTGATGTAGTGTTTGAATTTGAGGTGTAATTTGGATTTGACACGTGGGTTCTAGTAAAGGACTCCAGTAAACCTGTGTGCTGTTCTCGTGCATTCTTCGCCTTCAGACCATTGCACTCTTTGGTTCTCGCGTGAGACGTCTTGTTGAACGGGTGGAGTTTGGTAGAGCCTGTGCAACTTCTGCTCAATCCTGGGAGGAAACAAGTGTGCTCCAGCCAACTGCAGCTGATAGGAGTGTGAGGATACTTATATAAATATAACCCTACTTGTGGTGGAATCGAGGTCCCAGAGTTGCTAGAAGCTGCCCGTATTCCAAAGTGTTGGAAGCAACGGGTCAATGAGTCAATGCTTGGTTACATGTAAGGTAATTGGTAATGCCCATGCAGGGTGAGTAGCTGCGCAAGGATCGACACGATTTCTAGGACTAAAATATTTCTCTTTGTCATTTTGTCCTATGACAATCTATGACATATATAGATTGAGTACTTTGAGATCCGCCTGACCCTGCCACAATGGTCTAAGGATTGACGACGACAACTTTGATACCACCTTGGATTTCCATGTTCACATGGAGAACCCTGAGAATTGCGTGATTCAGGGTGACATGTGCCTCATCGGCCTAGACACTTGTGGGACGTGGCAGCCTCTTTGTTCACTCCCAACTCCGCATTTGTTGGGTCAAAACAAGGCATGACTCTCGAGCTGAGAAGGTGTTCGTTGAGATTGCCAGACCTGGACTGGGAGCGTGACCTTTTACCTTTTCCTGTTTGAGGGGTTCTGGAAAGCGCCACGGTGACCGGTGATCTAAATTCTTTTTTTCCCCAAGCTGTTGACATAAATTGAGAGCGTGTTTGTGCGCAATGTCAATGCAGATCTGGTCCTGATGCAGCTCGGAACCATGGAGCTAAGGAGTGTTGCGAAAGTGCTGATTTTTGACAACGACCTATTTCCATCCAGCGTGGCCTTGCCCAATCGTTGCGCAAACGCATGCACGTCCGACAAGTGTCGTGTCGCACACATGACCTCTAGACATCAGAGCTTCATGGGCACAGTGGACAGCTTCATCCGAGTGGGTTGCATTGTGACAGAGCACCCTTGTGAACCAAGGAGTTTGAGCCTTACCTGCAAAATATCAACTATGTGGAGGAGGCGGCGGCGAAATTGCAACTGATCCCATCTGTAATGGCATGGACATGAATACGCTGGAAGTTGCATAACTCAGCTCGTTTGTTTCGTTGTGATGTCTCTTATCCAGAGCCTTGGTGTAGTGCAAGCTTTCTTGTTGGAGTCAGTGGGACCGCTACAACAGGCCACATGGTAAGATTCAAGAGCAAGACTCGTGTAGGGAGTGAGATGATTTAGACTGTACAGTGCACACATCCTCCAAATAATTGCAGCTTAGGCGTGTTTGAAGTTCTGGTGGTGGGAGCACCTTGCACCTTGTGTAAAGTGTTCAGAGATTTATATAACGTGTTTTTGCATCATGCCTTGGCAACGATGTGGCGCACCTCAACTAGTGTCTCGAATAGAAAAAAAGCAAAGCCGAGCCTAGCTGCCTAGCCCCTAGCTCATTTTAGCTCTAAATGCAGGATGACAAAAACCAGAGCAGAGGATTGCAGAGGTCCCCTTTCCTTTCACAGCTCGGGGGGGGTCAACTTTTCCTTGCTGTCAGGGAAGCCTTCATAACATTGGCTTCAAGCTGCTGTGGTCCTTCATCCGCTTTACCTTTCTGCATGTCCCCAGCATTTGGTGGAAGTCCATTGTGGCGATTTTCTTGGCCCAGCGACTTGGCAAACATCCTCAGCCGCTGAGATGGGCACAATAGCGATGGCCTCCAACCCTCATGTGAGTACAATCATAGACGTCCATCCCATGCTGTAACTGGGCTTGTAGACATGCACTTGCCTTTGGTTGAAGACAACACCAACGTTTTGAATTCCACCATGTCTTGCTACAAGCGTTCGTTGCACCACAAGCAGCGAATAATCTTGTTGAGGTTTCGGCGCTCCAACCGTCTTATTTCCAATCCAATTCTGGGCAGACTAGTCTTGTGCATCAGACCTCAGCCAGAGGCAGTTGTAGGTGCATGTAGGTGCTTTGGGCCGGGGAGAAGTTGGCAGTTCATCCTGTCGCCACTTGCTATCCTGTCGCAGTTCATGGGCCGTGATGGTCAGCTGTGTCTAGTATAAACCGAGAAACTGGAACATTTTTTCGCACAAGTTGAGGTTTCACGCAGCAAGCTGCTGTTTATGCTGTCGATGGGTACCATCCAAAACCAACAACTGATTCATACAAAACCCGTACTTTGGGGGACGTTCGCATGGTATATTTTTAACCACTTGCCAGCTGAGGGTTGTTACATAGATTTTATCAGACTCCGTCCCGCCGGTCCTCCTCCTTCATCCTCCGCGTCCTCCTCAACCGTAACCGTGAGCGCTAAATCGCAGTGGGCACCGCCGGACCTCAACCGCGAGCGCTCGATCGCAGTGGGTACCACATCGTACCACCAGACCTGAAGCAGATAGAGTGCCAGAAAAAGTGTCAATGCCAGCATTTATGCCAGATAGAATGCCAGAATAGATTCTCGATAGAATGCCAGATATACTGTCGGAAGTACCCTTGGAAAATATATTCCTGAACGAACGTCAGAGTAAGCACAAGAGCGTTAGAAAACATGCCACATGGACTGCCCTAATTTGTGCTAGGTAGAGTAGCAAAATATACCAGAAAGAGTGCCAACTGATATGCAAAATAGAATGCCAGAATACATGTCAGATAGAATGCCACATGGGGTGGCAGATTCTATGCTTGATAGAACTGCTGAATCTACGCCAGGTAGAATACCAGAATGTATGCTAGATAGAGTGCCAGAATATGCCACATAGAAAGCTAGAATATGCCAGATAGAATACCATAGTATATGCCAGATAGAATGCAAGAGAGACACTTCCTTGGCGATGTTACTCGAAGTAGAAGGGTTGTAGTTTCTTCAGTTCGTGGCTGCTCCCATGTTCTATCCCCGATGGTCTTTTGTTCAGAGCGTCGGGCGGATGCGCCAAAGTCTCCTGTGATCTCCCGCGGGTTCGTTGCCGGAACGGTTTTGAGAAGAATCATTTCAAAAACTATTTTTCCAAGAGCGGCCTGTGACGAGACAAAGCGACTGAAGTGACATGAGGTTGGGAAACGCCTACTACCTGATGACGATCTACCTGAAGGCGGCTCTGAGGAGCTGCGTCACTGCTTCACCATGCTTCGCTCCACTCCTGTTTTGGGAGGTGTCCGGATAGCGCCCTTAGGACACGCAGAGCAAATCAAACTACACAACAAAATGAATTTGTTGGTCCAGAAAAGCATAACGGGCACATGCTGATGGCAGAGTGCAATCTCTACGGGCATTTTATAGTTACCCTGCTTTGGTTAGCCAGGTTTATTTGGTGGACGTTTGCCTCAATGCTGCTCAGCTGGAATGAATTTAAGGCTGCCAAACAAAGAGGTATTTGCAAGATTTTGCAAGCAAATTTGCACAGTCAAGCGGCAAGAAACATGGGATGATTACTTAACTAGCCTCGGCTGAGCTAGAATCGACTGCGGTCGGAAAGTCCAGCCATCAGCGAGTGACAAGCAGATGATAGCAGCAGATACCAACGTGTGGGGTGCCTCCTATGAACTAGTACGCTCACTTTCCCCGAGCCACTCATTGCACCCACTAAATAGACATCCGACTTGGC